AAATACATAAGTATATTTAAAAATCTTTAAAAAATCTAAATTAAAATTTTCTATACATGGGTCAAAGACGTTAAGTTGTCCGCATCAAAAGACATTTACAAAAGTGATTGTATGTCCATAGAAAGCACATTAAATGTAAGTAAAGTGTCTACTTTTTAAGGTTTCAAATAATTTTTTGGAGAATAAAATGTCAAAATCTGGTTGAAATAATGTTACATTGTCATTCGGTGTCACACAATATTTATGTAAAAATTCAAACAACATGCTTATTCTGACGTGTACATATTAATATATATATAAAAGAATAAGGGAGCATATTAAATTTTATTGTGTTTTAAATGAGAAAAAAGATCTTACTGACAAATGGGCAAAACCTAGGATAGTGGCACATTTAAAAAATATATATATATATATATATAAAATTACAACTAATTAGTATTTGTGGTGAAAGTAATTAGTCTTTTAATATGTCATAAATTGATTTTCAATTTAAAGCAGTATGACACTTATTGTTTTTATGCTTAAACCCTTTTTCGTCTTTGACCCACATACCATTTTTTTATTACTTTATCGATATGTAAAATGTGTGGTGTTTTATTGGCAGGTCTCTCACTCTTGATATCGACAGACCTCTGGAGAGAAGCGAAAGCCTCAACTCAAGAAGTGTAAGAGGACTTTTCATTAGTCTTTTCAAACATGACACGTTATTAAAACGCTTCTAAATCTCATTTCCTGTGTCCTTCTCAGAGTTTTATGAAGCACAACAAAACATTCCACAAACTCTTCCCAGAAGTCCCCGAGACTGAAGACCTGCTGCATGGTGAGAGCACAGGCTTTGTTTATCTTGTACATTCAGTCTCGCGCTCAGTAGTGCACACGGATCCGAGGCGTGTCTGTGACGTCGGTGTCATCGTGTGTTTCCAGCTTACGTGTGTGCGCTGCAGAAGGAAGTGCCTTATCACGGCCGTCTGTACGTCACCGACAGCAGCCTGTGCTTCTTCTCCTCCGTGCTGCTCAAAGACACCAAGGTAACGAAGCGCTCCGATCCGCAGGCGTTCAGAGCCTGATTAAAGCCCAGTTTAACAGAGTCCTGTGTGTGTTTCAGCTGGTCGTTCCCGTCGCCAGTGTGAGCGTCCTGAAGAAGCAGAACACCGCGCTGCTCGTGCCAAACGCTGTTTCCATCCGAACCACAGACGGAGAGAAGGTCAGATCCCCAAACACTCGCCTCGCCTCACGAGCTTCATACTCCACAATCAATAGAGAAAACATTTAAAGGGGTCCTATTATGCTCTTTTACAAAGTCTTGATTTTGTTTTGGGGGTGTACTAGAACAGGCTCTCATACTAGGTTGTTCGAAAAACACATTATTTTTCACATATTTTACATTATTACAACACCTCTCTCCCCAGTCTGGCATCAACGGCTCGAATAGTTCCTGTATCAGATGAAGACCCGCCTTCTGAAATATGAAATGTGCTGTGATTGGTTAGCTGGGCCGGTGTGTGCTGTGATTGGTTAGCTGGGCCGGTGTGTGCTGTGATTGGCAGCACTCGGAGCCTGGTCGGGAAATGTCATGCTCCTTATCATAGCCGCCTGCGAGCTTCAGTGTAAATATTGTGTCAAAATCAAATCGATTTGAGCGCGATTTAAACCCGGATGATTGTAACCACTCTAAGTTCGTCTGCCTTGGGAAAGCTAGCATGTCTCTGAATTAGTGATAACACTCGTTGCCTTCTCTAGTGCAGCTCAACCAGGTTTCGTCCCATTCGTCGGTATTTGTGATATCATAAATCCCAGAAAATATGTGTTGTAGTCCAAACGAGTCGTTCGTTGTAGTTTTTGAAAAGTGATTTCTGTTAAATAAAATATCTCCTTTTGAAGTGGACTTTGTAACTTTGCAGATATTTTTTATGCTCAAACAGCAGCATTACAGACTAACTAAAGTTGAAAGTGAAAACGCATAATAGGACCCCATTAAGTACATTTTAAGAGCTATTACAATAATATATAAATATCATATCCTTTTTTTAGACAATAAGCACATTGTCTTGTGAAATTCTTTTTACTAAATGGGGAAAAAAGTATTTAATTTATGCTGATTAATGCTAATTAATAAGAAAATACTGTAATACTTTTTTTAATCATTTAATTTTTTTGTGAAATATATTGATTAATGCTAAGTAATAAAATAATTGAATCAAATGTATTAGGATTTTTTGTGAAGCATACTGATTAATGTTAGTTATTAAAAAATAAATAAATGTATTAGTTATTTTTAGTAAAACGCAATTAATTCTAGTTAATAAAAGTAAATGTCTTAATATTTTTAGTGAAGCATACCAATTGATAAGTATTAAAAAATTAAATGTATTACAGTAGTTTTTTGTGAAACATACTAATAAATAATAATTGCTAAAAATAAAATGTTACAGTAATTTTAGTGAAATGTACTGAATAATGCAAATTAATAAAAATAATTTAATACATTTTTTTCATTTTTTTTATTTTGAGATTTACTTATATCTGTAGTATATAAAAAAAAAATACATATTTGATATTTATTTTGAGAGTTACTTGTATCTGAAGTATATTAAAATAATGTAATAAAATATAAGAATATATTTACAAAAATTATTATTATTAATTATTTTGTATATTAAATCATATGAATTTTTTTCTCTCTGTGTTGCAGTATTTGTTCGTGTCTCTGCGTAACAGAGAAGGCTGCTATAAGCTGCTGCGATCCGTCTGTCCTCAGCTGGAGGTGAGGGAGCATTTGCTAACGTGATTTGACTGGCGCTTCATGTGTTTTTATTCACTCCTGACGCTCTCGTTTCTGACAGGACGGAAGTGCCAACAGCAGCCCTCTCTTCTCATCAGCCGAGAGCAGCTTCGATCAGGCCAAACCCCTGGTAAGTGAGCGTTCAGCGTTCAGCTGTGAACCTGCGTCTCTCCAGCAGAACTCCAGTCACTCCAGTCTGGACGAGCGGGACGAAGTGTCTCCTCAGATCCAGCTCTCTGCGTCTCCACTCGCTTCAGAAAACACTGCGATCAAAAGCCCTTCAGCGACTCGCGGCTCACCGCAGACGGCAGACGAGAGCTCGGGTGACGAAGACACCGGTACGACAGACCTGACTCTGAGTGATAATGCGTTTGATTGCAGGGGTTAAAGTGTTTTTTCCGTCAGTTCATAAAGAGTCACTTGCTTCATTCCTGAATGAATCAGCCGTTCGAACGAATCAATTGAATGAATGACTAAGTGATGAAGTCAGTGACTTGCCGCCACCTGCTGGCGGATTTAGTTTCATTTATAGCGTACAATTTCAGTCAGGAGCACTTGTCCTCCTAATTTAAAAATTTAGGAGCACCTTCTGATCAATAATCAAAAATTCTGATTAAAAAATTAGCCGAGGTGACATTTGACTCCTTAAAGTGACTTACAGGAGTATTTTCTTTTTACCTTTATAATGGCATCATTTTCATCTGTCAAATTCAAAAATTTATGTTTATAAGCTTTTTAAAATTTCTATTTAAAACAATATAATAAGAAGTAGAATAAAACAAATAAGTTACCAATCATATGAAATTAGTATTAATAAATTAATTTGTAATACAGAGGTGGCACAGAAGAACACAAAAGTGGCTTTTCCAGACGTTTAATGAGGCTCAGAGGTGGCTTGAGTGCAATTAAATTCATGTGGAGATTAATGTTTTAAATATAAAATACAGAAATATTAAATAACTGAAATTGTACGCTAAAATGAAACTAAATCCTCCAGCAGGTGGCGGCAAGTCACTGATTCTATCACTGAGTCATTCATTCAATTGATTCGTTCGAACGGCTGAATCATTCAGGAATGAAGCAAGTGACTCTTTATGAACTGACGGAACTTTGATTGGCTAACGGAGGTTCTGCTTCCTCTCACCGCAGGAAGTTCGTGGGTCTGGAGCGTGACGGATAGAGTGCAATCTCTGCTCATCCAAAGAGAAGTCAGCAACCTCAACACTCTGCTGCTCATCTACCTGATCCTGTGAGTAAAACACACCAGTCTGCTCGACATTCAAGTTATAAAGCAGTCATTTATTTACAATTTTACAGTAAATATTTATGAAAATATTTGTAAATATTAAATATAAATATTTAAAAATATTTACCAAAAATTCATGTTGTACAAAAAATATTTACTTAATTTTTTGTAAATATTCTATAAATTATTTATAAAATGTAATACAATTTACTAAACAATTTATGGAATATTTACTGAAATAATTTTTAAGATGTATTGAAATATTACAATATTTATGAAATATGTGGTTAGAAATAAAAAGTAGCAAAATTTGTAATATTTTCAGCATTTTAGTATTTAGCGTTTAGAGTTTAGTAGAAACAAATTTAATATTACTATTACTAAAAAATGTTTATCAAAGATTTACTAAAAAAAATCGAAATGTTGTACAATGTTACAGTAAATATTTACTAAAAATAACCTCTAAAATGTATAAAAATATTTGCAAAAATATTTTATAAATGTTACACAAATATGTAGTAAAAATAATGTACAAATATTTACTAAAAATAATTTATAGAATATACACTAAAATATAAAGTATTTACCGAAAAAATAATTCATATCAATTATGCAAATATTTAGTACATTTATAAAATATATTTTTTAAATTAGCAAAAAATTTTTTTAATATTTACTAAAACATTTATCAAAAAAATATAATGTCATATAAATATTTACTAAATGTAATATTTTATTTATATAAAATTATATAAATATTTACTAAAATAATTTATAGAATATTCATAAATGTTGACTAGATATATTTATGAAATACCAAAAATAATTTATAAATGGTATACGAATATTTAGTAAAAAATAATTTGTAAAATACTGAAAACATGATTTATGAATTTTATGCAAATATTTACGACTTTAAAATATGTAGTATTTACTGAAATATTTCGATTTAAAGAATTTTAGTAAAAAATAGACTGTATTTGCTAAATATTTGTCAAAGATTTACTAAAAAAATATAAATTTTATACAAATATTTACTGAAAGTAACAATGTATTAACAAAAATAATTTGTTACAAATATTTACTAAAAATAATTTAACATTTTTACTAAAAATATATGGCGGTTGCTTGTTATATTTGTGCATTTAAATGTATTTATTTTTTTATTGGATGACACGCCTTGATTTTAAAATGACTTGAATTAAACAAACACTTGCTTTAAACAATCTCATCGTCAACAATAGCAGTATCACCAGTTCTGTCAGTATAGGCTGCAATGTTTCATGTAATATTAGTGTAATATGGTTTCATTTGTAATATTAGTGACTAGTCATCCTAAGCTCACTGACGAGATTCCTCTCAGCCTGACGTGTCAGAATATAAGTGGTTTCCAGGCAAACGAGTCTCATCTTGCCGGTATGCAGCAGTACAGGAATGTGATGATTAGCGTGATACGAGACGCCCTCCAGGCCTGATAGCAAACATGCATTTAACAATACGACTCTGACGTGTTTTTGTCTCGCTCAGGGTGTTTCTGCTCTTGTTGTCGTCTGGCTATATCGGCCTGCGTATCGTGGCCTTAGAAGAGCAGCTGACGTCTCTCGGAGCCCTTCCTGAATTCACCCTACAAAGCGGGTAAATACTGGCATATTACATTGATGTTTTTACATCGGTAAAATTAAAAGCATCAGAAAATCACGTTATTTTTTTGGCATTTCAGGTACAAGGAAACGTAAGGGAGCTCATCCGTCTGAACTTTGGAAAGAACCACCACAAAAAGTTTTTAAAGATCCACTAGCTGCCGCAGGGAATGCTGGGAAGGACCTTTATTTGCACATGCGCCAGCTACTAAAACTCTGTGCGTCTTTGCCAAGGAAACAACCAAAGGCCACGCATTACGGGACGCTGGTGTTGACGAAACGCGGGCGGTTTGTGTTAGTGCTGCAGCAACTCACCCAAAAACAACTAAAGACAACGGGTTTGTCTCTGAGGACTGTCAAAGACAACAAAAACAAACTACTTCCGTGGAAAAGCATTTCATCGGTTATTGCTCATGGAAGCGCCTTCGTTTGACCACTTTTACAACCATCCAAAAATGACGCAAATAACTTTTTTTTTCTTCGTAAGTTTTACGTTTCCTTTCCGTCTTTTTCGTCAGTCTTTCGGTTTCATTCTTCCTCTTACGTTTTTTTTTTTCGTATAAAGGGTTGCGATATTACTGGTTTCAGTTTAACGATAAAAAAGAGCTAAGCTAGCTAACCAACGCTCACTCATTGTAGCACCTTTGTTGGACCACTTTTATGAGCATCAAAAAATGTTGCAAATAACTTTGTCATATAAGGGGTTGCAATATTACTGGTTTCGGTTTAACGATAAAAATAGCTAAGCTAGCTAGCCAATTGTTACTCGTTGCAGCGCCTTTGTTTGACCACTTTTACGACCATCAAAAAGTGTCACGAAAAATTTTCTCCATTTTTCCTTCCCAAGTTCCTTATTTTTGATGGCTAGCTTTGTCTTGTTCGTCTTTTGGTTTCATTCTCCCTTAATTTTTTTTTCGTAAAAAGGCTTGTGATATTATAGGTTTAGTTTTAACGATAAAAAAGAGCTAAGCTACCTAACCAACCCTTACTCATTGCAGCGCCTTTGTTTGACCACTTTTACGACCATCAAAAAATAAAGTCGTGAATAACGATGTCGTATAAGGCGTTGCGATATTACTGGTTTGGTTTAACGTTAAAAAAGAGCTAAGCTAGCTAGCCAGCCCTTAGTATTATTGTATGTATAGTCTATGCACAAGAAACGCTCAGATCAGGTATTTAACAAGTTTTTGTATCTTTTTGTCTTTTTATACTTTAAGGAAACGAAGTAGTCCAACATGTTGGTCTTTTCATAATCCGAAAAAAAAAATAAATACAATTTTGTGCAAGAAGAGATGGACGCGGTATTGTTAAGTGTCCGATTTACGGCTAAAACCAAGCGTGCATGTTTGCGCAAACCCAAATGGAGCTTTTCCATTCAGGACTCGTAACGAGACGAATCGCGATACTTGATGAAAGTGGAGTGGTCCAAAATATGCATGATTTTTGTGTGCGTATATGTGTGTTCTTATAAATATGTTGCAATATGTTCAAGAGATAAGCGACGTGTAGCCGTTCGAGTGCACTTTAGTGTGGAGACGCTCTCCAGTCCTGGAGGGGGCGCTATATTGAGGGTCTGGGGCATTGGATGGTGCTAAGAACCTCTCGCTCAGGGCCGGGACTGACTCGCAATGCATCGTGGGATTGTTGCACCTCAGTTTTGGTATCTTAGTCATCTGCTGGCGACCTTTCTCTGCTGGTTTTCTGCTGAAATAAACGCGCATGGACTCACCAAATTTCCAGGGAATTTCTTGCGCGAATGAATGCATGCTTTTTTTCCTGAAATGGAGATTCCTCGTTGGACTGATCCGTGCAAATTGATTCGCACAACATTTCATCCAGTCGCCGGGACGTCGAAACCTCAAAGTCCCCTCAACGACTGTCTAATAACCACAATGCAAGAAACCCAACTTTCATAATTTGTTGATATTGCACTATTGAATTGTTATTGTTTTTGTATCAATATGTCGGTGAACATCTTGTTTGGTCTATTTATTGCCTAATGTGTCTCTGTGAGACTGGCTTTGGCATTGTTTGAATAAAAATCAAGTGCTAAGGAAATCCAGTGTCTCCGGTGTTTATTTAGCTCAGTCCAAGTATGATCTGTATATATATCTCCACTGGAATTTGTTTATGCAACTTTCAGGATGTCCAACTTTTGTTGTAGACCGGGATAATCAGATTTATGCAATTAACAAGCGCTCTAACATATGGAAAGTTACAAATCAGTGAAATGTATTATGGCAGCATCATTTACAGCATCAACATGAATGCTAATTTTAAAAATATCGGCTATGTTGGCTATATATATCGGTAACACTTAATAATAACTTTCATTTATAAATCATTAACAAACGTTATATAATGCTTAACAGATCATTAGTTAATATATATTTACATAGCTAGAAATGTGAGATAATGTTCTTGTTAATGTTTACTAATGAACTTACTAAACTTACCTCATATGATTATTTAATGTAAAGTGAAATGCTTACAAATGTCAGTAAACTTTCAGTAAGTCTTTGTGTAGACCTCTATTCACACATCTTTACTAATCATTTATTAATCATTTGTTCATGTTTTTGCAGTAGCCAATCTAAAGTGGAAACTATTCATCATTTGTAAATGTTTATAAATGATTACTAATGATTTAGTATCTTTATGGGCATTGGACTTTTAGCTAATGTAACAGGGTTTGTGTAAAGGGTGGCTGGTTAAGTTTAGCTAAATGCTTGCTAAAGACATAACCGATTGTAATTTTGGTGCAAAGAAAAAATGTTTTTAATGCCTCAACACTCACATTAGTATACTACTATTCAGTAAACAGGATATTTCTTGAATCATAAATAAACGGGAAAACAAATCATTTTTAAAAGAAAATACTTGGGTATTTATCAAAACAACAATATAATATAGACAGATTGAACCGTGTTCCCTTATAATAATCAAACTGACCCCTGTACACTGTTGACCCCTTAACCAACCCTTAAACCAACCCATACCACCAAACCTGTGCCTAACCTTACCCGTATCACACCTCAATAGCAGCTAAAGCTTTTCATCATTTTATAACATCTGTTAAAATCACTTGTAGAGTTTCAAGAAGTGTTTGATCATATGGAATTGAAAGTGATATTTGTAAGCAGTTTAACTTAAATTAAATAATGATTCGTTTGAACATTATCTAATTTTATAATAATATCTACGTTTATTAGCAGACATTAACAAGTACATTATCCCACGTTTCTAACTCTTTTAATATATATTAACTAATGATCCATTAAGCATTATATAATGTTTGTTAATGATTTGTTAATGAAAGTTATTATAAAGTGTTACCTCTATCTGTCTGTCTGTCTGTCTGACTGTTTCTGTCTGTCTATCTATCTGTTTGTTTCTGTCTGTCTGTCTGTCTGTCTATCTGTTTCTGTCTGTCTATCTGTTTCTGTCTGTCTGTCTATCTATCTGTTTCTGTCTGTCTATCTATCTGTGTCTGTCTGTCTGTCTGTCTATCTATCTGGTGTGTGTGTGTGTGTGTGTGTGTGTGTGTGTATGTGTGTCTGTCTGTCTATCTATCTGTGTCTGTCTGTCTGTCTGTCTGTATATATACATATACATACATATATAAACAGAGCTGGGTAACTGATTATGTATTCAGATTCCAAAATATAAGTACTTGTAATTAGATTAAATTACATTTTATAATACTCATAATCAGACTACAGTTACTTTTTTATGGATTACATGATAACATATTATTTACACAATAGCAATAAATTATTCATAATTTATTGATTCTGCCTAATTCCTCTTTTTCATCTTTTAATTTCTCCTTTATTAAATAGCTTACCGCTTATATAGACTCAGAAATTCTTCAGTTTTGTGGACATGCACACATTAGTGAGGTGGCTACGCAGCATTCGACCACTGGATTTACAAAAATCATTTCAGGTTTAAAAAGTGTTTCAACATTGCATCAACTACTGATAAACACATTAATTTTTATTTGAATAATCACACTGCAGGATATTTTACCATAATTTGTTTGACATTCAGTTTACATCGTCATCAATTGACATCAATGATTTGTTTGATATTTATTGCATTATATGAATTATTTGTCAGCCTGATTGAGTTTTAGTATTATTTTTGGGGCCTCGAAGAGCATCCGTTTGAATCATCTCCTTTTGAAACGTGTCCCAGTTGGCAACTGGTGTTCAAAAGACGTGAAATTTACATCAAACATTGACATCAAATATCCAAATCAAACTTTTGTCACAAACTTGACGTCCATTTGACATCCACACACTCCTTTCTAATGCCCATTCAATGACAAGGCTTTCTCTGCTGTTTAACACCACACCTGTAGATGGCGCTATGTAGTAGTGGCATTAAGCCTCTGCTTCAAAAGCATAGACAATCCTAAACCCAGTGTCCAGCTCACGTTCTGACACATCCGTCTGCAAGAGGTCTGTTAAAGATCGCTTCATCTGGAAAGCATCTGCTGTGAACAAACATCTGATAGACGTCTTTAAGATGTCAGTTTTACATCATAAACATCTTAAAGACATCTTCTAAACGTCTATTTGACATCTGATAGGAAACGTTTGCAGATGAGCAAACACTCTTGCAGATGTAATGCAGACGTCAAACAGACGTCTCTGAGATGTGTGTGCTATCAGAGTGCATTTCTTTATTAATAAGGGAGTTTCTTTTTGAATGTACATTTGTATTGTTGATTTCGAGATTGCTGAATTAAACTTTTTCTTTCATTGCATTGCTTTTGTGTCGTTATGTTGGTGGTCGAAAGAACATCGGTGTGTGGATATGAGTTTTGACGTCAGTTTGATTTGCATTTTCGGCCTGTTTTTTTTTTTTTTTTGTGACGTTAATGTTTTGTCAATTCGAAGTCTTTTCATCATCAAGGAGCCTGCCTGGTCACGTTCATTATACAAATAAAAAGGCAGCTCTGCCAAAACATATCGTTTTGTGAGCCGGTCAAGCCCGTACACGTTTTAATAAGCTCACGACTGATTTTCATGTTAACCTGGTAAAGTTTCTGGGACTGCCAGCAGCGCACACACATGGAAACCAGCTGGAGGAAACCAAAATCACCTAATCACTGCATGTTGGTGTTGTTGAAGACGCAGGTGTCATATTTCTCTCTGCAGTGGGTCTGGAAAAGATCATGCATGTTGGTGCATGACCCGTTATTTAGGACTTCGCCTCTATATAGGCATTGAATTGTGCTCGAGAACGTCAACAACAGATTTTCTCCAGATTTCATCAGGAGCAAGCGGTTCTTGTGAAAAGGTAAGAGATTTTTGTCTGATTCTGGAGATTCACATTACTTTGCTTTCTTGTGTGGTATGTGGGTTTGACTGTTTCAATAAGCCGTCTCTTAGAAGGTTAAATGGAAAGTTTATTAAAATAAATTAACATTGACGTGATTCTCCCCTCTAATATCATTCAAAACCTCAACGAGAGATACTTAGGCTAGCAGTAGCTATATGTTCTGGCTTTTCTTTTCCAACAAATGGTGCACAATCATCATACAAACCATTGCATGACTTCAAAGACTTGGAATACACTCTTTAAAATAAATGGGGGTTCGCAGCAATGCCATAGAAGGTTCCCCAAATAACCTTTTAGTGAACTATGGAAACCAGTTTCCGCCACTGAATAAAAAATAAAACGAGGTTTTGTGACTTTTTATCTCACAATTCGGACTTTTTTTCTCCGTTGCGTGGAAAAACTCCCAATTGCGAGTGATATAAACTCGCTATGCAAGAAAAAGTGTCAAAATTGCAAAATTTAAACTTGTACTTCTGAGAAAAAAGCCAGAATTATGTGATATAAACTCCCAAGTGCGAGAAAAAAGTTAGAATTATAAGATTTACATGTAATTCGGAGAAAAAAAGTCAGAATTGTGAGTTTTAAACTCGCAATTCTGAGAAAAAAAGACAGCCCTGTTGAAAAAAACAGCATATGCTGGTTAGGTATGTTTTGACGCTAGGATGCTGGTTTATGCTGGTCCTTTGCTGGTTTATGCTGGTTAAACCAGCAAAGGACCAGCTTAAACCAGCATCCCAGTGTCAAAACATACCTAACCAGCATATGCTGTTTTTTCAACAGGGAGAACTGCAAGTTTATATAATGCAATGCTGAGAAAAAAAATCGGAGATGTAAACACTCTATTGCGAGTCAGAATTGTGAGATAAAAAGTTGCAATTATGTTGCTTTAGTTTTTATTTCAGTGGTG